AWMAAAGCAATYCAAACTTTATGGGGGTGGATAKCTMTTTTCGACCCCTGATATAACAGGCTCCTTTGGGAGAGTGAAGGAGTACATCGCGGGCCAGAAAGATACTGAAGAGATACTCTGACAATTACCTTGKGCGAATGGAAGGATCTTTTTTGAAGGAACGTACAACTTCTATCATGCTCGATTTACAAATATCAGCAGCCGAACCTAATAACATAAAAACTATTGAAACATCACATTTATTTACAGATTCCAAAAGAATTGAACGAAAATGTACAAATATTCAAACACTGATCAATTTTCTCAAGACTGGTGGTACAATAGGAAATAAAAGCCATTTTAGTTTATGCGCGGTGAAATATGACAAAAATGTTCAAACTTTTCGTCCAACTTGCGAATTTTCGTCGCAATTCTATTTGGGAAAGACTCGTTCCATTGAAATAAAAACATCATAGTGTATCATACCTTGAACAACAAAATTCACTGCTTGGCGCTCTGCTTGTGCTCGAAGATTGAACTGAGGTGCATTAATATGAGGGAACCAGCGCTTTCTTTTAAAAATTGTACAGACATAGCCTGAATATAGAGGTAGAGGTTTGGATTATTATTTCACATCGTGCTAACATCACCGTGATGTTAAGATTTCAATTTGTCCTGTTCGGAAAACGATAGAATGAATTGGAGATAGATAGCAACATCCAATAGAACAAAACCAACACAGTTTCCATAAGAATCCAAGTTTTTTGATTCCCGGTATATAAAACTTACTTATGCTAAACCTCTTACCATTTTTCTTGCACTCTTCAATGCATTTTCGAGTAAAAAGTCCAATTCCTGGGAATTTATCTACAATAAATAAAAGAATAGAATAGAAGGAAAGAAAAACTCATTACCACATGCCATTGTCTCCCATTTTTGCACAATCACTAATATCAAGTGCTGTGCAGAAGCAGTGCAGTATACAGTGCAGTGCAGTCCAGCTTAGTAAGTTTGTACCATTTCTCCTTAAATACCCATATGACATTCCCGGAAGTACTTACGTACCCAAGAAACTCTTCATAAATTCCTTTGCTTTGTCCACACTAACTCCGATGTTCTTAGCAAGCCGTTCACGCCCTTATGTGTTGAAAGGAAACAATAAAATAAAGTAAACAAATGCTTTTGTTGACTTATTGTGTATGACATTATATATACTAACCAACGCCATAGATAACAGAATAAACAATTCTCTTGGTGTGCTCTCTTTCTTGGAATTGAACGCTTTCAGATCTTTTGTTAAGCCTAAGAGTGACAGAATAGGATAAGCGTGGCTTAAATGTCTTTTCATATTTAAAGAGACAATCGATCAAAATCGGCATTACCATTGTGAAGTAAGAGTGATAAAAACATCAGAAGAATTATTTTCATTGAACACTTTCAGAAGGGCGGTGTCATTAGATAAATGCGCCAAAAGACGTAACTCAATCGATTGGAAGTCTGAAAGGAAACGTCTCGTATTCAGCTTTGCATGATTTCCTTATTAAAAATGTAAAGAAATTTTGGATGATGTATTGGATTGATACCTGCAGCCAGGAAGGACCATCCTTCTTTGCTGTGGAATGCTTCACGAGGAAGGATGCTTACTGATTCGTTCTCTTTTCCTTTATAACAATAGCGCAAATTTACTTTTTCAATATTATAGTGTTATAACAATAAGTAAAATCACAAAAACTTATTGAAACTCACCCACAATGTATTGATGAGTAGGAATTTGCATGGCTTGTTTTGGGATGTTTTGGAGATTCTAAAAGGGCATAATCAGAATGATATATATTAAGCATTGGACATGATTAATATATTACAGATCGAAAGACAAGGAAGTAAATACGCTACTTGCTCCTACTTGACTGAGACGTCATGGAAGCAACATCTTAAAAAGCAGACTTTGAATGATCATTCTTATTAAAAGATCATGTTACGTTTTGCAAAAAAAATCATGCATTGAAAGTAATTCTGCGTTGCAAATATTTACGCCTTTGGCGCATTTTAAAAGAACAACCATTGACACATTTACAAACTCCATGGCGGTGAAATGTATCAATAATCTATTAAAAGCGCAATATGAATACTGGGTATCGAACTCCCCTCTATAATCCCTCCATTTCGTATGCAACCTACGGACCTAGAGAATTGGCTTAATTCCAACAAGGGGTCTTATTGTAACTTGTTTGCCCAGCACTCTTTAATCTTTAAATAAATTAATTGCCACTAGTGAACTAATCAGGCATTGGGGCAGCCAGCGGTGGCTGGCCTAGAGAACAATGACAGGCAATGGTAACATAATAATCCAGCACTTACTGGATTAGCAGAGGTAAGGCGTCCAGTAGCAGCTGCAGTGTGTTCCCTGAATAAACCAATATGTAGTCACAGTACATTATCGACTGACTGATCGTTCTAATAATTCAACACTCACCAAGTTGTATGGATCATTCCCTAAGAAAAAAGGTATACCGGTATAAGAACGCAAACAACGAAGGCCATCTCAGTTTTTAAGAATGCTTGATTTGCAACTACGTGCCCCATAATTCCCCGAGAAAGAAGAACAAAGGAATGTTGGATGAAGTCCGTGAGGAATGCTTTGCTTTGTATTCAACATGTAGGTTATGACGTAACGTGCAAAGCATGTATACTTACATTTGTTACAAACGGCAACATTCCATCAAAGTAAGTGGATTTCAGTTTTACAAGCTAAAAGATTGAAAAAAGCTATTATAGATATAATAATCCAAAGAACGTGTATAGCATATTGGACATAACGGATACAAAATTACATATTATAGTATGAATGTATAGTATGTATGTATAGTATGTATAGGGTGAATGGATACATCTCTCAATTTCACAAAACTATGGCGATAATCATAAATCAATTGCTTATCAATGGGACGGTTTGCTTCAAAATGGTGCTCATAAAAATGATCATGAAAATGATGCAGTTTCAACAGGTTTCCTTTTCCCATTTGTTTGCATGTCAGGTAAATATGATGTGAAAATCCGATGAACATATAGAATATACAAGGAAATATATCTTGATCATGCTTGATACCCACCTGACGATACTCTAACACAATTCTTGGAAGTGGATGAAGATGCTGAAGATCAAGTAACTAAAAGGCAAAGTCGTTTTTTCATTCAGTTCCACTTTAATCCACTATGATATTTGTTTAGTATTACAAATGCACAACATATTCATCATATCTTTTCGGTCAGCACAAGAACTTCACATCACATCTAGAAAGCATAACACTGCGTTGGAACTTACCACGGCCTCAGAGGTAGACGTATAGCTGTTCGCCGCAGTCTTCGCTAACGCCTTGTCACACTTTTTATCTAGTTTCAGCTCTTCAAAGAGAACCTATCAGAAAATACAAAAGCCTCTACAACAATCGTTCTTTATGGTATGATGCTTGTTTTAGGAACGCGATCCCGTTTTTTACCAATAGAACGCGTACTAACCGTACTCATTCCACCGCGTTATATTTCTTTTTGAAACCATAATAGTTCTTTAGAGAGGGTTAACTGAAAAGTAGGACCGCTTGGTGCACTAACGTGTACACCCTTTTTTACGTGCACAGGCTATAAAACAGTCATGCATCTGAACTCACTAGTGCGATATAAAGTTATTCACTGGATAGATAGTGGTTTTAAAGCTTACATATACCGGCCTCAGGTAATATTCCTCAACAAATTCTAACCTTTTATTTACCTGCCTCAATTGATGTGAGCTGTTGATTAAAAATGACCTTCCTGCTGCCTACACAAAACAAATGAAAGGTAAATATACAGATGAAACTACAATAACATGGCGCATCATGATCGCTGTATGCATGTTATCTATAGTAGCCCTCGTTAAAAGGACGTCCATTTTGTACTGTAAGACCTACGGGCGATTAAGCAAAATGCGTTATGTACAAAAACACATCTTATACATACCTTATGTGCTTCTGTTTCCAGCGTCTTTATTCGTCCCTAGTATAACAATTGAGATCAATACTACTAATGACGTTTTCTCACTAATAATATTCTTTTTTCGTTTTTGAAAATAGACACATAAACAATTGGACCCTTGCTTTCGAACTTGTCATATTACATACATGCAACTGTTGGAATGAGATATTTATACACTCCATTTCAGAGTTAGTATACCTTCAAAATGTTACTTGATTTCAAAAGAACCTGAGTATCAAGGTTAATTCCTTCTGATTCCA